TAATATTTACATACTGCGAGGCTCCACTTACCCACAATATCATGATAACATGAGTAGCATTAAATATTGCGTAAAAAATAAAGTAAAGTAAGTAAAGGTATCCCTGCAACAGGCCGTGGAGGCCCATATGGTTGTGAGATGTTGAGTTTCTCACATTTTCTAGACAATCGGCTCACAGATGGCAGTGAGGTTGTCAGCCTTATGCGCCGGCCGCCCTTTACCCCCGAGAAAGATTCCTGGTACTCATTTCTGTTAAAGGCTGAGTCGACCCCGGGGCCATAGTGCGGCTGGAAGGATTAGGTCAATTGAAAAAAAATCCAATGACCTCATCGGGACTTGAACCCGCGAACTTTCGGCTTCTAGCGTAATGTATCAGCAAACTACGCTACCGCCTACCCTATTAAATACAGAGAAAACATCTAAATACAGATTTCCGGTAGCGCTTTCAAATAAGCATATGTCATAAAAATGGCGTTAGAGAGACTATATATACTTATCGGCAAAATTAGTACTTTTTATTGTGGAAAAAAAATATTTTAAATACAAAAGAGGCCTAGGCAATGCCCATCCGGCCTTCTGTAGCACATTCTTATAAACATCTTATTCTATAATAGCCGTTACCTAGCGATTCTTAATGTAGATCTTAACTTCAGTCTGAGAGTAGACTGTTAATGATCAGTACAGTTACTTCTTTACTTTTGTTACTTATCTTACTCACACATGAAGCTGAGCCCTTCTGGAGGAGCCGCGAATTCTGAAGCTACTCAAGAATTTCACAGCATTTTATGGAACCCGAAGGTTCATTACCGTGTTCACAAGAGCCCTCCACTGGTCCATATCCTGAGCCAGATCTATCCAATCCATACCATACCATCCCATCCTATCTCTCTAAATCCATTCCAAACATATCTATTTTATATAAATTAGTTCAATTGGCGCATTTCTGCGCAATTCTTTAGCGGCCGGATAAAATCATGTTGCGGGCCGTAGTTTGGGTACCCTTGCTATAGTGGATGGAGTATACCTGAGATGTAATTGGACATAAAAGACTTTTCTATCTCAAGGTTACCTTATCAAGTTATGTCATATACTAAAAAATGTTCTAGGCAGAGTTTACCTCAGTAAGATCAGCGATGTAAATGGGAGTTCTTGCAGAAACTGACTTCACGGCCTGATAGCTGATATGTGTCAGGTAGACTCATGGAGCTGAGCCCTTCTGGAGGAGCCGCGAATTCTGAAGCTACTCAAGAATTTCCCAGAATTTTATGGAACCCGAAGGTTCATTACCGTGTTCACAAGAGCCCTCCACTGGTCCATATCCTGAGCCAGATCAATCCAATCCATACCATCTCATCCTATCTCTCTAAATCCATTCCAAACATATCTATTTTATATAAATTTAGGAATGTTGTTTATGAAGTAACAGACGCCTTGCAGAAATATTTTTTCTTCTAGCTTTAAGAGCTCTGTAACAGATTTTGGATATTCTTTTTCGCTGTTCTCAGACAGAATGTCCATCATTGTTGTCCGTTGGTCCTCATACTGTTTACACTTTCTGCATAAAATAAGTACTATTTCCATCTAGTAGGTGCAGCGATCTGTCGGCGTGATCTGTTACCATACTACCATACAATATCATTGCCACTTTATCGTATACAAACGTGGTTCTCAAATAATGTTGTGAGATTCATTTAAAATGACGAACATAAAACTTATGGGAATCCTCTAAAACTGAACTATGAACAGATAGATTATCTGTATATTTACTTATATTATAATCTCCATAAATAATAGTTCAGTTATCAGTAATTATGCATGGAATTACCGGGTTCTCGGACTTTGTAATTATGCAGTTAATACTGTATCATGGATAAACTCCACAAATAACAGTTATCAGTAATGATGTACAGAATTACTGGGTTTTCGGACTTTGTAATTATGCAGCTAAAGACTGTAGCGCGGGTAGCTGTGGCTGTATACTGACTACGAGATAGGCAAATACACCATAGCAGTTTCTAGACAACGGCTCGGTAAATATTGTAACGGCCGGATAATAGTCGCTGCGAGGAGTAGCCGAAACAGGAGACGCAGAAAGCACAGCCTCCAAAGAAAAGGAACGGGGGTGCATCGTTAGGCTATTCGAGCCTAACAGCCTTAAGGAGGGAGCAGTGTGACCTGTTACGTAATCGGTACCGCTGTTGGCTGGCGCCTTGTCGACAGCGGCGTTGCGTGCCATGTCACAGTGCGGAGGGGGTGGGGGACGGAGCGCTGACTCACCCGCCATGTCACTGCTGGGTAGGGAGGGGTTCTCCGTTGCGCAACATGTCACAATATATTCCCTCTGCAATGAATATGCAAGCGCCAATCGGGTTATTGTTGGTCTATAGCAATGTAAACTGTATTTTCTATGTGGTTCGTGCCGAAATGTTATAAGCAGAGACAGCCCAGTTCCATAGGAGAAATCCGTGTGGAGGCGGGGTCGAATACCTCCATGGTGACCCTGCGAGTCGTAGGAGGCGACGAAAAGGGAAGTCTCAAATCTGAGACAGTAAAATATGGTCGCGAGTCCCAAGGAACTCGGACCCGAGAAAGACTGCGCTGGTAAGGGCCAGCAGCATGTGCAAATGACAGACCCATCCTCTCGTTAGAGAGGACGCCCCACAAAAAAAAACAAGACCGTAACTGTCAGTCAGTAATAAATATCTGGTCATGATCCTCATATGGGGCTCGACACAGAGGTTTACTGACTGATTGACAGTCAGTCGCAATGTGACTTTGACTTTGACTTTGACTCCATAGGAGAGAACTGGCAGGCAGTACTGAATGGGAGTCGACGAAGGAAGAACCTGATCGCGGAATGCTGAATAATCTCCATTGTTGCAAGCCATTTCCAGGGAACGGCTGGTGAAAACACAGCAGGCTGGAAAAGGCTTAGCGGGTGCTACAGTGATATGTAAAATGTGGAGATTAGCGATAGCGTTATAAGTGCTTGTAGTTCCGAGCCAGCTAGATCCAAACATATGGGGCCATCCTTCACACTGAGTAAGTGCTGTTAGTCACTTTTACATTTCATCAGTTTCTGAGCGAAGATAACATTAGTTCCTCGGGAGGGCAGGTCGCGGGTTCAAGTCCCGATGAGGTCATTGGATTTTTTTTCAATTGACCTAATCCTTCCGGCCGCACTATGGCCCTGGAGTTCACTCAGCCTCTAACAGAAATGAGTACCAGGAATTAATTAAATAATTTTCCTGGGGAGTAAAGCGCGGCCGTCGCGTAAGGCTGGCAACCGAGTGTCTAGATAGTGTGGGACCCTTAACGTCTCACAACCCAATGGGCCTTCAAGGCCTGTTACAGGAATAGCTTTACTTTTACTTTACCTCAGGAGCGCACGGGAAATATCGGGGATCCGATGTGGCGGAAAATAAATGTAATGTACGACTATGTACGTACATTTGCACTTACAATAATACCAAAAATACCGCCCTCCTACATAAGCCTATGATGATTAATGTGATCCAGTGTATAACCACCGCTCACAGTGGTCGCGCGGTCTGATGCATGAATTTATCTTCGCTCGCTCGAGTGCTGGGATCGTAGTTTCGAATCCCACTCGAGGCATGGATGGCTGTGCGCATTTATTCTGTGTTCGTGTTGTCCTGTTTAGGCAGCGGCCTTGCGAAGGGCTGATCCCCTTCCGAAGAATCCTACCGACTCTCAGGATGAAGAAACTGAAGTGAAACAAAGTGTTTCACGGATGCCTTATGCTCCAAGTGGGAACAATAGGAAAGAGAGAGAAAGAGTGTGTAATGTTGAATCGTAGCTTCCATCCTATTGCACATCACCCACTTGTTCCTGTTAGCGATTACCTGTCTCACATGAAACTTACTTTTTAAAACCTTTAAAAGAGACACCTGAAGATGACCACTGTTGCTCGAAACATATTGTGTGATGTAAAAGAGATTTTAACGTTTAGAACGTATGAAGGTTTTAAAAAGCAAGTTGCATGTGAGACAGCTAGTCCCTAAGAGGAATCAATGCAGTGTGTGGTGGACAAAATGTACATATTGTGGCGTGCCGTCTAAAAACCGCCACAGTTGAGTGAGATCAAAGTTGATTTCCTAAGTAACATTCATTAACAAAGCACGTTCCCGCAACAACGGCTTACCATGGCTCTAGTATGCATGCACTTCCATGGAAACACTCGACTAAACACATAAGTTACAGCAGAACTGGAGACGTTTCCGTGGTAACGCGTATATAAGCAGGAGGTTACCACGGAAATGAAACACTGAACTGTTCGGGGCAGTGTCTACTATTCTGTACGCTAAGAACCTACGTCTGGCCCACCGTGACCCTGCGAGACGTAGGAGGCGACAGAAAGCCGAGTCTCAAGTCTGAGACAGTCTCGAGAAGCAAGAGACTCGGACCCGAGAGGGACCAGCAGCATATACAAAAGGCAGGCCCGTCCTCTCGTCAGAGAGGGCGCCCACAAAAAAAGACAAGACCGAAACTGTCTGACAGTAATAAAAATTTTGCAGTTAGCCCCAGATGGGTGCTTTATGCCAAGACAGAGAGGCCGATCGACCGTCGGTCGTAAAATGAGACTCAGACTCAGATGAACTGATTGGCTTTGACTTTGATAATCAGATCAGGCCGGCGCGAAAATAAGGCAGAGAGAAGAGCAGATCAGAGGTCAGATCAGAGACGATAAACTAGTCAGATCACATCGTCTGAAAGAAGTTATGTAAGAGTGACTATGGTTGTAACTGTAAGTGACTTGTCCAATAAAGGAGTTTATATTCCGGAATCCACAATTATTTGTCACTGAACCCCAGGCACATGACAGTATTTTTGTTTCAATTCTGGCGCCAGGAAAATAATGTCTGAGAACTATTTGTATACAAAGAAAATAGTACATCTAAGAAAACTCACCTAATATACCGATGGACGTAGAACATTGGGATGTTGAAACCAGATGTCTTATGCTTCATTTGTTTCAGAAATATATAAGCGACCAACAATCCACTCAGGACAAAAAATGTGTCCACTGAAACGGTTGGATTAGTGATATACAGACGGCCAGGATCCTTTATGAACTGCAAGTAATTATAAACAATGGTACATATTTAATAACGAGCTGAAATTCGTTAAATGAGTTATGATGTTTTCCGTCCCTCCCATTAACACACACATACTATCCTTCAACGAAGAGAAAGCGAAACAATTACTGCAACCCGCCAATGTATACTGTGCAAGCTGAAAACATCCGCAGTATTCGCAGATCTCTCTCTTCATTCTCGGAGGTATACTGAAGGTCCATGTGTTCCTAAATGAACAGCAAAAGATTTATTTCAACCAATCATACCCACCAGTTGCCTCGTCTTGTCTTCGTTGGTTTGTACAAATCACGTGGTCACTTCATAAAACGTAAATGTGCTCTTATATATTCTCTGTATTATACAATATTGACTTCTCCCAGTAATTGATCTAATTGGATATCTAGGCTTATAAAACTTGTTCCGTCCAGTCCCAGATAGGATATTCCTCTCAACTATTTACCGAATGACCTTACCTTATAAAAATTTATAAATAAAATAATTGATTCACTACTTTCAAAACATTGGACCCTCTACTCTGAGTCACTGACAAAGTAATTAAGTCAATTATAAATAAAAGAAAAACAGAACAGCCGATTTGAATTTAATGAAGTAAAAATGTAAAGCTATCTCTGTGACATGCTGTGGAGACCCATAGGGTTGTGAGACGTCAAGGCTCCCACATTTTCTAGACAATCGGCCGGAAGGTAGTGGGATCGAATCCCGATGAGGTCATTGAATTTTTCTCAATTTACCAAATCCTTCCAGCCGCACTATGGCCCTGGAGTCGGCTCAGCCTCTAACGAAAATGAGAACCAGGAATCTTCCTGGGGGGTAAATGGCGGCCGGCGCGTAGGGCTAACAACCTTACCGCCATCTATGAGCCGATTGTCTAGAAAATGTGGGAACCTCAAGATCTCATAACCCTGTGGGCCGTCACGGCCTGTTACAGGGAAACCTTTACGTTTTTTAGAAATTTACCACCTTCTGTTCTCATTGATAAATAATGGAAGGCAAAATCACCATCTTGTTAGACATAGGGAATATTTCTTCCGTAGGAAAAGGAACCAGGGATGCAATTGGGATGATGATAATTATAGCAGAACGAACTTTGGAGATAGATGAAGAACTGTGTGTTTCCTTCATAGACTGGCAGAAGGCATTTGACCGTGTAAACTGGACCAAATTAATGCAGATCCTAAAGGAAACAGGTATCGATTGGCGTGAAAGAATATTGATTAGCAAATTGTACATGGATCAGAAAGTTAGAGTACGACTGGACAGAGGGGAGACAGGAAGTGTGCAGATTGGAAGAGGAGTTCGACAAGGATGCTGTTTATCACCAATTCTGTTCAACTTGTACAGCGAATGCCTTACCAAGGAAGCTCTGGATGGGCTCGGTGACTTCAAAGTAGGAGGGCAAATTATTCAAACTGTGAAATATGCAGATGACCTTGTGTTAATGGCTAAGGAAGAAACTGTGCTACAGGGCATGATTGATAGACTAATTGAAATTGGAAGGTGCTATGGCATGGAAATGAATGTGGAGAAAACAAAAGTAATGAAAATTTCGAGACAACCAACCCCAGTCACAATAAAGATAGACCAAAAACAAGTGGAGAATGTGAAATGTTTTAAATATTTGGGTAGCTTGTTAACAGATGATGGAAGGTGTACTTGTGAAATTAAATCCAGGATTGCCATGGCAAAAGCTGCATTTAGCAAGAAGAAGAATCTTTTTACCAGCAAATTGGACTTAAATTTGAGGAAGAAACTAGTGAAATGCTACATTTGGAGCATAGCTCTGTATGGGGCTGAAACATGGACACTTAGGGCAGTAGATCAGAAACATCTGGAAAGTTTCGAAATGTGGTGTTGGAGAAGAATGGAGAAGATCAGTTGGACCGATTATGTGAGAAATGAAGAAGTGTTAATTAGAGTCAGTGAGCAGAGGAATATCCTACACGAAATAAGAAAACGGAAGGCTAATTGGATTGGTCATGTTTTACGCAGAAACTGCCTTCTAAAAGAAGTTATTGAAGGAAGGATTGAGGGGCGGATAGAAGTGACAAGAAGACGTAAGAAGATGCTGGATGACCTTGGGGACAGAAGAGGATACTGTCATTTGAAGGAGAAAGCTCTAGATCGCAATAAATGGAGGAATTATTTTGGAAGAGACTGTGGACCTGTCGTCTGACAGATTACTGATGATGATGATGATGATGATGATGATGATTGTCCATATATTGTATGACGTACCCTCAAAAATGTTTCAGACGCAGTATATCTACATTGCATATCTCTGTCCTCAGAAACACTAATAAAAAATGAAGAAACGAAATGATATGTAGAATTGACGAGTATATAAATGTAAAGGGAAGGCAGACAAGTTGGAAGGAAAGCCCATCTACATTTATCTTTCTGATGCGAAATTTTGGCTACTTACATCAACAGCAATGCCAAGATTGATGGATGGAACTGCCATGTCCGCCATATATCGGTGACCCCAAATGACCCAGCATATCGTAATAAACCTGATACCGTGAACAGCTTGAAGAGTGTCCCCAGAAGATTTCGTACTCAGCAACTTCTTGCCATTGCTATATACAGAGAATGCCAGCAGCAGTTCCTTCTTCTGCCCTGCAATTAAATCAGCCCTGACAATTCTGTCATTTCTGTGTCACTGTTTCACTCTATCAGTATTATGCTGGACATTTCCTAAAGCATATTTAATTTACACGACATTCCGAGAGATGGCTCTGCAGTCTTCCAGTCGTACAGGTGATTGGTTGGCGTTATTTCTGCGGAGTGTTTTTACTCTCGTATGTATGTATGTCCTGAAAAAGCATTGTGATGTAAAGAAACGCACAACAAAGAATTGTTATATGCGTTGTTTCCTATGAGGTCCTTGTCGTATCAAAGGAAAGTAGGCGATCAGTTCTTGAATATTTTATGTGAATCTGCATCACTGAACACATTCTGTGTTGGCACTTCGCGTGTGTTCATACAAAGTTTCGGTAGGGAGAGCAGAAGAGAAGAGACCACTAGGAAGATCTAAACGTAGATGGGATGATAATATGAAAATGAATCTTAGAGGTTGGAAGGGCGTGGACTGCATTAATCCGGCTCAGGATAGCGGCCAGTGGCAGGCAATTGTGAACACGGTTATGAACCCTCAGATTCTGTTAAAACCGTGGTTATTTCTTAAGCAATTGTTATCTTCTAAGAAGGACTAAGCCTCAAGGAGTTAGTTATTTCGTAACATGTCTGCTTATAATTGTGTCTTGCACCTGAAAATGTATTGATTCAAACAGATCGTTCAGACAAATCTGGCTTAAGTTTCAGTCATACATACATATGATTCCACAGAACGAATAGTAAACAATAGTAGTAAAATTACTTAAGTTTCTTTAATTAAATGAATTAATTGTGGAGTAGACTGAAATCTTAACAAAGTTTCTCACCTTTGCCTATGAGGTCATACGCAGTGTTTGAGACGATCAGCAGTAAAAAGGCAGCAAGAATACCGCTGCAACAGAAGGTAAACACGGGGAGCTTCAGGTCTTCAGGCCATAATAAGACAAAATTGATTGAACTGTTAACGCTCTACGTGCATTTCATAACTCGTTAATATACAAGGGAGAGTCAGTAAATAGGCCACAAATGGAAGTAAAACAGTTATAATGATTGTAATAGGTTTTCTACGTGTATCACAAAGTAGCAGCACAGTCCAGTATCATGACAGTCTAGGTAGCAGATGCTTATGCACACATTCAGAGGTTGGTTTCAGTAGTCAAAATGACGTCCGTTTCTCAGAGTGTACTGTCGAACAGCAGCGTTCTCTGTGTCTTATTAATGAGAAAAAGAAGACTCACTTCGAAGGATATTCATAAAGAAATCTTATCTGTTTACGATGGAAAGCTTATGTCGTGTAAAGCTTTTCACGTCTGATTCGAGAAACGTGGAAATTTTCGTTCCTCGCGAAGAGGTTGAAACGGGGTTGCGGAAGTGACTGAGACAACAGTCATAGGACTTACATTCTGCGCGTTTCGACGCACTGGTAAATAGATGGCACAAGTGTTTCAATAATGGTGGAGGATATGTCGCGAAATAAATCGTTTTCCCCAGTTTCGAATACTAATGTTTTACATTTTATATCCATTTGTAACTTATTAGTGACTCCTCCTCATACTACAAGCTTTCGCCACAAATTATATTTGAGTTAAATATTAACGAAATGAATCAGCGGAAACTTACACAGTTATCCAGTCCTCCGTAGCGAGCGATTTTCCCTCATTAGTTTGGCAGTACTCCTCAGCTACTGATGCCATTACAGGGAGATTCCTATCTTGTAGGTATGAATTGAAGATCCCTTCAAAATCCTTCGCGCTGCATGTTGATGGAATACAGTAGGACAGCGTGAGGCTCAAGTCAGATGAGTCAAACGAGACCTGTAAGTTAAGAATTTCTAACCCCATGGATTTGAATCCTTTTTGAAAAACCAATAGTCGGTCTGGTATTCGAGAATTTCCAACTTGTTTTTTGCCTGAAAGTTTCATTACCGTGTTCACAAGTGCCTTCCACTGGTCTCTATCATAAGTCAGATAAATCCAGTCTATACCACCCCATCCCATTTAATACCCATTTTAATATTATCTGCCCATCTAAATCTTGTTCTTCCTACTGGTCTACTTTCTTATTGCTTTCCCAACAAAAATCTGTATGCATTATTTTCTTTGCTATGCGTACTACATGCTCTTCCCATCTCATCCTCTTTGACTTGATCATTCTAATTATATTTGGAGAAGAGTACAAGTTATGAAGCTCCTCATTATGCAGTTTTCTCCAACCTCCTGTCACTTCATCTCTCTTCAGTTCAAACATTTTCCTCAGCATCCTACTTTCAAACGCCTTCAGTCTGTGTTCCTCCCTTAATGTCAGAGACCAAATTTCATACTCATACAGAGCCACAGGCAAAATTACAGTTTTGTATATTTTAATTTTTGCCATTTTTATAGAAGA